GGGAATGAGGCCGGGGAGCCACTGCAGGCGTAGGGCTTCCCCGGCCGCGTGCCCGCAATTACGGTAGGGCAGATGGGCGCCTACACCAGGCAGTACGGCGCGGCTCCTCCCTGGCGCGGTCACGTCCCCCACGTCCCGCAGCTGGCCAGGCGGGGCATCTCCCTCCCCGGGACCCGCCCCGCCGGCCCAGGTCGGCCGACCCCCAGGCACTGATGGTCCCTTCCTTCCCGCCTCCCGCCTCCGCTCCCTCCTCCTCCCCACAAAGGGCGGGGCTGGGAGGGGCGTCCCTGGACTCAGAGTTCCCTCCTGACCTCGGCTTTTAGGGCACCGGCACCGGGCCCCAGCCCAGGGCAGGGACTTACACGAGGGAGGCCGTGCAGGGTCCCGCAGGCCTGCAGCGGGAGCGGGGCCTGGTACCTGGCCGAAGCCCATGCCCTACCGCCACAGAGGTGGGCCTGAGCCGGCTGTCCTGGGCCAGGACTGGGGGCAGCCTGGCAGTGCCGAGGCCAGTGGCTGGCCCTGGGCTGTGGTGTCCCACAGGGAAACGAGGCCAGCTCTCCCTCACCGGCCTCCCTGCGAGGACTGTGCCGACCCAGGAGAGCCTGAGCAGCCAGTGAGAGGCGGCACAGGGCGCGGACCAGGCCCTTGTCAGTACCCACCTGCGGCAGGCCTGGACCCCTCCCAGAAAGACCCCAGCACGACTGCACAGGAGGGCCAGGGCTGCCAGGGTCCTGGTCCTGTCCAAGGCACGGTGCCTTCTGCCACCGCTCAGTGGCTTCACAGAAGCCCCGGGCTGGCCGCAGTGGGCCGTGTGTGTCTTCCTGAGGCTGGGGGTGCCCACCCTGCCCTGAGCTACGAGGGCAGGGCTGAGGCTGGGCCCTCTAAGCATGGAGTCGGGGAGTCAGGGCCCTCACAGGCACCTGGCCAGGCCACAAGCCCTGTCTAAGGCTTTGGCCACACCCAGCCTAGAGGCCCCAGATGGCCCCGTGGTGCACAGAACCGTAGACCTAGGTGGGTGAGGACCCTGAGGGGAGACATGTCTGTGGGGAGAAGGCCTGGAGGAGCAGACTGGGGTGGAAGGGGGGAGTCTGGCTGCCTCACAGCAGGAGGGCTAGACTAGCCGTCAGGAGCCCCGTAGCTGAGTCCCAGCCAGGACCAGAGCTGGGTGGCACGTGGCTGGAACCCTGCAGACCCGGCTCCCCAGACCCTGGCACAGGGGCTGACAGGAGCCCCTAGATAGGAAGTCACCTCAAGGGACCCCCATGCACTCTGCCATGGGCCTTTCCTGCTCAGACCCCAGTGGCCTGGGGCTTTGGGTCCTTCGAAGGGCCTCAGACCAGCTCCTGGGCACCTTGGAGCCCTGCCTGACCCAGAGGCAGGCTCTCTTGACCCCGGAGATCAGCTTTCTGAGGCGCAAGGGCCAGGTTATTTCTGGGCTGGTTTTGCATGCTTCCCTGGGAAGGTAAATGTCACCAAAAGGCCAGCCTGCCCAGCATGTGCCCACAACAGCACTGGCCCACGGTGGCCCTTAGTGGGTGCCTCCTCTCCCGCTGGCTCAGGCAGGCAGCCAGCCCAGGGTCTTCCTGGGAACATGGGGGCCCTATGCCAACCTTCCCCGAGCCACCTGGGCTCAGCCATCTCACTCCCGATCCCATGCTTCCCATCTGCACAGGAAGGCCCCCACACGGGCTTCACATGACAGCCACAGGGGCTCGTAGGGCCAAGGACATGCTGTGCCATCCCGCCTGAGGCCCCAGCCCCCAGAGCTGCCCCTCGGATCCTGGCTGGGGGAGCACCACATCTCCCAGGCGGCTGGCCACCCTCCTCCCCATGTATACCCTCGGGACCCCAACGAAAGCCACAGGAAAGGACAGGGACTTCCAAAGGCTGGGGCGCCCATGAGGCCTGCAGATGCCAGGCATGGCTGGTGCAGCCGGGAGCTTATTCTGGTCCCGCTGCCTCGTCAGGTCGGTCTCTGGTGGTGCTGGGACCTGGGGAGAGCTGGGCCGTCCCTGTGGGCCTTGCACTGCCCACTGGAGTGATTTAAAATCGTCACGAACATCTGTAAGCCCACGAGCCCCAACAAGCCAGGGCCCCAAGAACAGTCCGCACCAACCACGCGACACCTTTCTGAACCTGGGGCTGGGCTTCCTGGGCTTCCCGCCGTGGGTGGTGTCCTGTCGTGCCCTTGGGTGTGCCGATGGTCTAAGCTGCCCTGCTGTGTGTCCATCACCCTGGGGTCTCTCACACTCCACACTGCCACATCTGAGACTGTGCCTTGGTCACCATGACCATGGTTCCGTGTCCCCCCTCCCCGTCCCATCCCAGATGTGGATGCTTTTGCTAGACTGCCCTCGGCCCACCCCGAGTCCAGCCCCCATGTCACCGGAGCCACTCACAGGGCTTGTGTGCACTGGGAGGCCCCAGGTCGGGGCCCCCAGCACCCAGAGGCAAGAGCTCACCACAGCTCCTGGGAACCTGCACCAAAGGCTGTCGTGGCTGGGCTGGGGACTGCTGTCCCAGTGGGTCTTATCGGTCTTGTCCTCACCCCAGCAGCTGTGGCTGGCCCTGGGGTTTCCGGTCCCCATAGGGCACTCCCCCACACTCTGACCCCTGGGTCGGGGCTCCCCAAGGACACCGCACCTGTGACACGGTGGTGGTGAGGGCTTGGGGAAGAGCTAGAAGCCCTTCATGCTGGACTGCGCCGAGGCCCCGTCCTTGCCCAAGCCTGGTTCCAGGTTATGCACCACCCTGGCGGCTTTGCCAGGTCTAGGGTCCGTGGCCAGTGGCCACGTCTGCAGGAGCAGCCTGAGGAAAGGGCAGGGGTGGAGCTGAGGCACATTATGAAACCGCAAGGAGGGGGCCGGACAGGCCGCCCCAGCTGTCCTCAGGGGGTCTTGAGCCTGGGCCACAGTGGAGTGGTCACTCTGGAGACCCAGCGGCCAGGGTTGCTTCCTTCCCAGAGGTACCGGCACTGCTGGCTGGGAGGGGCAGCGCTCCCGGTGAGGGGGTGAGGGGGTGAGGGGG